CCGCCTCCCTCAGGAGGGCTTTTCCCTCGTTCCCGGCCCATTCCTAGGATGTGGTTTCACTCTGAGTCCTGAGGTTCTCCGGGGTTGCTGTAGTTAATGCCACACAGAGACAGAGAAGTTGGGTTCACTCCTGAGCCCCTTCCTGAGGGTCACCAGGCAGCTGGCATGCTCAGGGAGTGTGAGCCTCCAGACCATGTGCAAACATCGAAACGTAAGCAGGACCCAGCACCTTGCAAGCCTCAGGCCTTCCCGTTCTGACCTGCCCAGGGGTACGCTGAGCTCGGTGAGTAGAAGGTGGGCCGTGGCTGGGAAGAAATTATTCCCAGGAAGAACTGCAGGGGATTGAGAACACATGACATTGGTCAAGATCTGCTGGGACATCTCGGTCCCCAGGGGATGAAACAGAGATTGTTCGTCACAACTGGGCCACAGGTCATTTGGGGAGATTTCTGCGTCACAAATCCACATACCTGCTTCACGTAATATGCGTGGCACTTTTTGGTGGTTTTTAATGAGGAGATAGCATCTCCTAGTGAAAAGCTGAGGACATGACCACTGGCAAACTCACCAGGTTTTATTGGAGAATTTTACGTGGCCATGATTTGTAGTTTGTTGGCACATGTGTGGTGGTTTGCCTTAATTCAGGGCTAAGCATCCACTGTTTCCAGCTTTTTCCACTGTTTATTAGACTATGCAAGTAGAGAGTGGGTTTTAAGAGGAGATCTACTGTGTAGTAGTAGGTTGATCTACATTTGCAAGGTGGACAGAGTCACTACGGCTCACTAAGGGATATTTTGTATCAAAGCACTGAAGTTAATAACAACAATATATATATTTATATAAACTTGGTCAACCCTGACAACCACTCTGTATGGTAGGTGTTATTACCCCGGATTTGCAGGAGGAGACTGAGGCACAGAGGCTGACTCAGGCCGAAGCCACGTGGTGGTGTCAGGCTTGGATTTGGGTGTGGGCAGGCTGGGTCCACAGCTCGTGTCCTGTCGCTGTCCTTGCTTCTTGTGGTCCGGTTGACTTCTTGCTTCATCTGCCCTGTGCTGGGACGTGTCCTTCACGTTGTTTTGTTTCTTGAATGAGAAGCCCCTTGGTTTTGTTGTGCATACGACCCACCCAGACTTCACCGGCTTGGGTGGCTGTGGCCCCAGCCGTGCCCCTGACAGCCCCCGGTACTTTCTGAGTCCCCACATGGCCTCGCATGTGCTGGAGACTATAGTTCTCCAAAGGCCCTGTAGCCATCCCTGGACAGCACTGTCCCCTTTGGCCATGTGATCTTGCTGCCCTGCTGTGACCTGCTTCCTGGCAGGGTTTTTTGTGTGTGTTTTTTGGCTGATGTCTTCACCGTCTTCACCCCAGACCTAAGTCCTTGGCAGAGCGAGTGGACTTGGCCAGGGACAGGTCTTAGTGGCAAACCAGGGCCTCTGCTTATGGTTGGGTTGGGCCAGGCCAAGGTGGAGTTTCTGATGCTCACTTTTCTTAGGATGGGCTTGTACCAGGTAATTTTTATTCATCTCTCCAGCTGGTTGTCAGTCTTTCCCCCGTAGTCTGAGTTCTCAGAGCCTTAGTTGCACTAAAGATGCGTTAAGTTTTGGGATCGCTGAGAAGTCTTATATTGGGACGTTATGACAGCCGGTGTTGGTGTCTTCTCTAGGTTTTTTTCTTGCACATATTGACTAATTTGAGTCAGAGGTGGTCCAGTGCGGGTTTCTAACCATCTCGGCCCAGGATGCCGACCCGAGGTGTCCTGCTGACAAGGACTTGTGTGCCGAGTTGGTGTGAGGATGCTGTGGGCCGATTTTTCCCTCATAGAGAATATTGATGCACTAAGTTTTTAAGCCACTTTATTTCATCTACTGAGTCTTAAACAGCAGAACCATAAGCCGTTTCATATTTTATAGAACATTATTTCCACCAGAGCTGTTTCTTTTGTCTAGAAAATGTCCTTTCCGCTGTCATCAGCTCCATGCCTGCCAGTCCTGCTCTTTCCTTTAGTTACCCAGGCGCCACCTCCTCCGTGGGTCTTACCAGCGCCCCCCCCCCC